TGTCGACGAGTCGCTGCTGGCTCTGAACGTGGCCGAGCGGCTGCGGCGGGAAGCGCGCCTGCGCAAACAGGCGGTCGGACTACAGGCGCTGGTCCAGGTGAGCGCCGCGCGGCCGGCCGCTGTGTGGACGCCAGCTTTGGCCGGACGCGCCATGAGAGTCGCCGCTATCACGGAGAACGTTTTACTTTGTGCTATGAGTGTCCATACATTTGCACCTGTGTCCGTAAGCAGCTCAATTAATCATTAAGATGTGCGGAGACGAGACACCGTTTGTAGGCCTCTGGGCGTGACTGTTAAGTTGAAAGGGCTGGGCCACCCTATCAATTTTGTTTAGAATGAGACGAAAGTAGTGCTTCCAAAATAGTTTTTCAGCAACAGTGGATGCAGAACAACTCCCAGTAATCACCAAAAACATATTAGAACAATCACCCATTTTCACTTTTGTGTTGAGCTATCTGTGTGCCTCCGTGCAAATCCCCGCCATGTGTAGAGTGCGTCTGGGGGACACTCTTCTTCCATGCGGTCCACAGTAAGACCAACTGCCGAATTACTGTGGCATGAAGAGCGAATGTATCTGAAACATAAAGTTGCACCATTAATGAAGAATAACTGCTACAGCCTGAATACTTCATCCAAGAAGGATTTTTTATTGGGCCCAATCCTTTTTAAAGGACTGGCTTCGTCATCACCAACATCAGTTGGATGACTGTGAACCGTATGTTCCGTAGTAATGCGCATTTCCAATCTATCCGTCATAATTGAAATCCTGTTCTATGTCCTCGCAGGTCCAAAAAGAGGAGCATGCAAAAGAAATGGCGGCGGAAACAAAGCGGCGCCAGCGAGACGAGGAGTCCGAGCGGCGGCGCTGGCAGGAGAAGGTGGGCGCCGGGCGGCCGGGCCGCCGCATCGTGGCATCGTGCGTTGTTTCAGCTTCGCGCTACGTCGATGACCTGCGTGGTAGATTTTTGTCCAAGGATGATGTCAGTATTCATGTTGTATAACATTTCGAAATAAACTCCATATGGGCCCTATTGTGTTAGGTGACTGCTACTACTGTGCCAAGTTAGATAGATCTTATTTTGGATGCCCTCTTTAACAATCTGTGCACCTATTGTTCATTGGAGTCAGTATTTTCCCGAAACGGGGAAAGGTGCGTTTTACTTGAAGCGAATGCTCCACATCTGAAGATATTGAAGCACATGTCAGATGTGTTGAAACATGCTCATTTACAACTATTGGGATACGTTTAAGCGGAAAAGGCTGCTCTGGACAATAAATTATTTCTAGTTAGTTGATATGCTCCTCAATCCGTCAATGTTTGATTGCCTCATGGAACGTTTGTATGACGTTGAGGTGCTGCCAAACAAGTCATGCGGATTTGGCACCTTAGCACTCACATGTAGTGCCTCAACGCGCGTACAGAGGGAAGTGGTGATGCTTGAAGTGGTCGCTTAGTCAATTATTGTTGTGTTCGTGTTTTGACGTTTTCTCGTGGTGTTCTTGCATATTTAACCTTCAGTTTTATGAGCTGGCTTGCGTTCACATGCTGGTTTATGGCGCTTTTCCAAATTGATTTGATTACAAGTATTATTTCTTTAATAACTACAGCTCGACGATATTACCGTTGGCGTTGAACGCCGCATGGCCTTTGGGGCGGTGAGATTTAAATGGAGCTGTTATGGCGTTATGCATGCTTGAATGGTTTTGGAATAGTTTGCACGATAAAGTCCGACCGTTTTGCGGGCGTATAGCTAAGAAACAAGAGGGTTTTAGGTCTTGAAGAGGACAGGGCTGTGAACTGCATCGAATGATCTTCAAAGTGACCATTTCGATACAAAACCCCATACAAATGTAGAACACACCATTTAGCCAACATTGCGTACATGTCAGACTTTTGGTATATTTTGTTTTTGGCATATACTGTTCTTGTTTTTGTGTTCTTGGTAAATTTTTAATGCGTGGAGGCGACTGGCGTTGCTTTATCTATTCTGTAATGGTTGAATCTATGTTACCTTCTGCTTGCGTACATTGGATGAAAGCCAGGCCGCTGATGAGACAGACAGCAGCCAGTGCATGACTCTCCTGTCCCTAACGTAATTCAGACGTCTCCTCACTGGGCGCCGCTGCCGTTTCAGCGTGACGAGTACGCGTCGGCCACTCAGCGCGTGGTGGAGGCGCAGGCCAGCGCTGCCCGGCTGACGGCCGAGGCGGCCCGCGAGCTGGCCGCCGCCCGCACTGCAGCGCCACCTGCGCCGGCGACGGTGGCGCCGCCCGCGGCCGACGCCGGATACGTGGCGGCCGCCACCGCCGTCGCCGCCGTGCAGGAGGCCTTCAGACAGGTCAGTGATACACGCGGCACGGAAATCCGGTGCGCTGGTTGGGCGGCTGAAGCTGAAAGCGTTGGTAGGCTTTGGTGTTGAATGAAAGCATGAGGCTGGTGATGAGCCATGGTCCCATAGTTGTATTTGGCGCCGAGTAAGTAGTTAGATGGAGATTGCTATCAAACCTGTTGATGACGTTTTGTAATGACATTCACCGAAAAGTTACAGCCTTCTAAATAATGACGGGGGTTCGGGACCGTATTGCCGTTATCTGTGATAAATATTACGTTAGGGTGCCGAATGTACGCCGGTCCTGTGGCGCAATGGATAACGCGTCTGACTACGGATCAGAAGATTCCAGGTTCGAATCCTGGCAGGATCGCAACTTTTCTATTTTCAAAGGGTGATTGCGGCGGTGAAATTGACATGACTTTTGTCTTGGGGGAGAATCACGCTTCAGGCCATCTTACATCTGTCTGAGAATGATTGAGGGCTCATGACTGAAATTGCCAGACCGGTTTTGATCCGCACCTTCGAAACCGCCGCCCGTGCGCTGACCACGCCCGTACCCTTCCCGTGGGCGTCGTTCATCTGTACAGGGAGAACGTCTACTTGACGCGGAGCTTGATGGTAGGGACATAACCGCACTGAATGCCATTACAACATACCTGCATTTACTAGGGCCCACAAATAACTGCAGTGTTTTCATATTTATCGGAATACGTTCTGGAACAGGTTGATTATGATGACCGCTATGTGACCGCAGGGCGCACAAGCAAATAAGCGTACGGAGACCCCTAGGGGATGGACAAATGCTTCTCCGCTAATAGGTGGCGCTTGAGTGCTTGTGCGTGCCCAAGGACTGCATCTCATATGCGGGTCATCATATTCGGTAGTGGGGAGCGAGATTATTGGTGCCTGGATGTTGCTCGCGTGCAATAAACATTTCACCTATTGAGCAGCCTGAGACGAAATGCTTTCTCCTTTGGAAATTTTTTGACGCATTAAAATCTGTTAATTGAAGTACCGAGCATTTCATTTCATCGTGCGTGTTGTTCCCAATCTCGAGACGATCGATCTTCGCCGGAGCTCGTTTTGAACGTAGACTTTAACGATCTGTTACCACGGAAAATTGATTGACATGGTTTTACAAGCCTTACTTTACGGTATTCTTTTGCGGTGTCTGGTGTGCTAATCTGGATTAGTTGTAATAGTTGCCAGTTTCCAAAGATCAACGACGTTCGACGCGAAATTTCAACAGGTTTTGCTTTGCAGCCTATGGCAGCTACATTGCACCCCGAAAACGAACGTAACTTCGCTCTTTTGAAAGAAAAACGTCTGCACTTTTGTGTTAAATCTTGTACTGTCCTGCGGCTGTGAACTACCTTCCTAAACGTTTCCTGTTTAAGCCAAGGTTTTCGGCATCTTCCTTTACATATGTACTTGTATGGCGAGTGTACGGAGACGATGCAGGGTTTTCTGTGTGCTAGAAACGCGAAGGGGTGGAAAATTTGGGATCTCACTGAGAGCAGTTAGACAGTCAGCGAGCGCGCCTCACAGTTTCACTGTTTCCCCTCACAGGTGTGGAGATCCTTGCAGAATGCACGTGCCTTAATGGGGGGGGGGGGGAGTGAACTTAACCTTGTTCTTCCCCGAAATAAGGGTGTTTTCAAACGCGATGTGAGACAGCCGCATCAGGGCAAATTCGTGGAAGGCGTAGGACTGGTGATTGCGGGATCCCGGAACTTAATTAATCGCGAACATCGGGACTAGGAACTCTTGAGAGTTTGGGATCCCTATGACGCTTTTCCCATACAGAAGTACTGTTTAAAATGCGTTGCTGATATGTGGAATACATCAAAGAAGCGAACTACATTCAGTACTTGAAAATGAAAAAAATTGTGTGGTTTGGTCCAAAATTATCATTGAACCTTACGAATTCTCGTGAAGTCAGCGGCATTCTGCAAGCATGGGATGACTCGGCGACCGGCGTCGTCTCACACCGTGTCAGGGCCCGAGCTCGAGGTCGTCTCGCGCGCCGTCTCCTCACGCGCGCGGCACAACAGGTCATCTTACCCCAGGATACGCGACACCGACTATCGCGTCGGAGCAGGCGGGGTCGTGTATCTGAGCGAGCGTGGCCTGTGGCTCAGCTCTTGCCAGTGTCTCGTGGATGAGGGACCCATGATGCGGGATGGTGGCCATGGGACATCGTTAGTGAATGATCGCATTTTTGGAAGCCAACGCCGCGGAGCCTGTCCGATGTTGTGGAATTTAAATCTTGTCCTCGCAGGGGGAGGGTTCGATGCGCCTTTTTCCCCCAAAATATGTGTAAAATACCACTTCGACACTTCGTGCAATCGCGCCCATCTCTTCAGGAGCCCATGGGACATCGTTTGCGCCCGTTGTGGCACAAAAAACGCGTCCCTAGCATTTCCGGTTTCAAAGCAGCAGCGGTTTGAGTGACGTTGCACGACGAGTACGGCCTGAGCGGCCGGTGGTCGGCGATCGGCGATGACGCCGAACGGGGTGCCGACATGTTGCATTAAAGAGGCCATGCATCATGACTATATGGTGGCCAATCACATACAACTATACACTGTTGCACTCAAAACTGAACAAGAAGTAGGTTTGTTTAGGTTTCGTGTCGCTACGAGGCATGGTTTCTCACTTGTAAGCATGTGGAGTAACAGGTAAGTTACATTAACAGGCCTGTAATGAGCTTTCGCCCACAGTTTTTTGCAGTTGTTTTGAGCAGATAGGAAGCAAAGACACAGGCCTGTAATTTTCAGGCAGATTTCTGATCCCTTCTTGTGCAGCGGTACCATGTTCGCATGCTTGCACTTGGCAGGGAAGTGGCCAAAGTTAGAGGGAGTGTTCCACATTCATATGGGGTTTTAACCGAAATAGACATTTTGAAGACCTTTCGGTGCTGGTCACAATCACGCGGTTCTTGAGGTCTGAACTCTCTAGTTTCTGAGCTACACGCCCGCGAAAATAGGGAAAGGTATATTGAAAGGTATTCCAAAGCCACCTTGGCATTCATGTCAAAATAACGTCATTCAAATCCTGCCATTCCATAAACCATGCGGTGATCAAAGCCAAGAAAAATATCGTTGGGAAGGCGTTCGTGAGCGCAGTTTTCAGATATAACGACCGTCGATCACTCTCAATCGATGTTATAAGAGGTACGATGACGTCATCAAGTTACCAAAGGTAATCAAGGGTAATTAATCCATGATATAGTCGTCAAGGTAATCAAACCTTGACGCTTTGAGAAACATATTTACTGACCAGAAAATTGTGCTGTCTAGAGCACATTTTTCCACTTAAAAACCTATTAATAGCTATTAGTGAGCTCGTTTCATCATATCTCATATTGGCTTCAATGTCATCAAATGTGAATTATTTCCTTTATGAAGAGAACGTTTGTACTATTTTGTAGCGGAACAGATAGCTGTTGGTAGAAGCGACGAAGCTGCTCTTCTCAAGCGCGCCGACAAAGCCGCCAAAACCCTAGACTTTTTGAGTGCGAAGCGGCGTCATCAGTAATGTTGCCAACGCACGGGGAGAATAACATAGACTTCGCCATCTCCCATGGCGTAGCTGGTATAAAGGATGTTGGTAGTGTAATGGTGAGCGCGTCTCCTATAACCACTGTACGCCTGTGCAATCAGAGATGCGGGGTTTGGTTCCCCGCGGCGGCCGCCCCTCCTGCCAGAGTGAGAGGCAGGCGACGCCATGTAGTCGTAGCAGCTGAGTGTGTCAACAATTTCCAATGACGTCAGAGCCGCTGAATGTGAGATCGGCGACCGTATATGCACCTCAGACTTCTGTATGGTGACGACGTAATTTAGTGTAAAATGTGGGCCCCCGCGCTTCCCGATCTAAGGCGTAAACAAACAGGCTGAATTTTGTTGATTACTAACAAATCTATTACAAACAGGCAGACTTCAATGGTCTGCGCACCACTCTCGCGCTTATTCCATGTCAGGGAATAGTTGAAAATTTCCCTGTCTTATGAATTACTTAAATGCTGATGATGCTGTCCGCTGGTTCTTTGTTGATCTTGTGGTCGCCGCCAGTGCAGACTTCGTACCTGTTGTTGACCTCCGAAATAAATTTCTTCCCGGGTTTGACCGATCCGTTCAAAACTTACTGCGTGACAAGGAGATGGCTCACAGACGTAAGGAAGCGTGTCCGACCGCCTAAAAGACTACTTGACGCGGTACTATTAGACTGGACTTCAAAATTGCAGGTGATGCTTATCACCGCCAGTACTTGTCGGGTCTAATGCGGCCTGTAAGGACAACCCGAAACGTTATGGGTTCTTTGTTACGTCCTTGAAGTCACCAGCGTATGTATTTCCCATTCTTAGATGCGATGGCAATGTGTACGAGAGCGGTGAGGGGCGTGCCAACTATCTGCATGTTTGTTTTGTTTGTAAGTTCCATGACCCTAACGCTCGAATACTGTCTGACGCACCTTCGCTCGATGCGCCTCGACTAGACTGCTTTACTGTACCGCATGGCCGTATAGCCAAACTGTTGCGCGATGTCAGTGCGCCCAAGGGCCGCAGTTCCGACCGGCTCTGTGCCCGGATTCTCAGGGAGTGTGCCATGGAAGTGTCATTAACACTCCCCTCCCCTCCCCTCTCGAGCCCGCCTACAGTGCCGGCGGCGCCGGCCACGTGCTCGGCTGGCGCGCGGGGCGATGCGTGCCAGGCCGTCCTGCGTCGCCCGCTGTCACGTGACCTGGCGAGAGCGTCCGTGCCTCTTTCTTCCGATCTTCGGGATTGCCCTCGTCTCGTGTTGACATGCGCGACGCACTTCCTAGATGCACGCTCGCACGCACTAGACTTCCCATAAATCCCCGACTGAGACGAATATTGAGCTCTGACCCGAGACGAACATTGAGCTCCGGCCGACACAAACATTGAGCCGAGATGAATATTGAGCATTGACAAAAAAGAATATTAACTCCTGCTGAAACAAATTCGTCTGACATGTGTGGCCTGGTGCCTTGGCTCACACAAGAAGAATGCGGAGTCCTCTCCGTCTCACTGAATCGTACTCGATTTAAATTATGATCAAGGGCGATAAGAAGGCGCAATGGCAGGCCCAGACGAGAAGAATGATTTCCAGGCTCGGCCCCCCTCTACAAAGCCTGAACTGGCGCTTTAGAGACATTACGGGCGGGATCAGGGCGGGGCGTGGTGGTTAGAGTTGCCTGCGCAAGCCACGCCCGCTTCACTTCCCCACCCTGTTCCTCCTTCCTGCTTTGCCTGGGCATCTCTGTTCGCAGACAGTAGACGTACGCGACGGTGTTTTTCAAGTCAGTAACCTCGTGTGGAGGGCTCCCACACTCCGATTATCTATCCGCACCCGCGCCGTGCCGGCCCGCTCTTCAGGCCTCTCAACAGGCTCGGGCCGCCGCTAGTGCCGGGCGGGGGCTGGTGAGAAGGGGCTGTGGTGCCGTCCGCCGGCGCGCAGTCGTCCGGCCGGGCCGCGATGCCCGCCGCCTGCGGCGCCCGGATCATGTTTGCCACCGCGCACTGCCCACTGACACCGCGCTGCCGACGGCGCCCGGCTCCGCGCGCCGGGCCGGTCCGCTCCAGCTAGCCGCCGTGTGAACTGTGCAGTGAGGTTTGGCATCGTACCCTTCTGCATCAAATAAGTAAAGTTTGAAATCCCTCATCCCAAGTATCCCTCAAGTAAATTGTCTGGGGAAATAGGCACGATCCGCATCGAGTCACCGTGAAAATGTAGCACGTGCGCGCATGACCACGGCTGGTGACCCCGACGTGATTTTACACGGATCATCGTCGTATGTTCCCGACGATAAAAGACAGATCGAATCAAGATGGCAGATAAGGATCAAGGACAAGAAAAGACCGAAATTCAAACGGAATGCGTGCAGCATGTCTAAGTCCCAGCCTTCATGGAGACAGCAGTGTCTGGCTGGTGCACTATCCACAACGCTCATTACAAGCTCAATCGGATCACCCAAAACAAAACCACATTCTACCACCAGTAACCAAATTCTCCAGCTTCCGGGGCTCAATAGCGACAAACGTGTCCTGGACGAAAAGCAAATCATAACATGTACCTAGCACCCGAAATTTTGAATGATCGTAACGGAAGTCGCCATAATAATTAGTAGTTCAGTGGTATTTATTTGTGGATGGGATAACTTTTCGGGTTGTCATCCTCGTCTGGTGTGTTGTATGCATGCAACGTTTCGGCCAGTTAAACACGCGTCCGGGTGGCTGGTTAAGTGCGATGCGCTCGGGTGCGAGGAGCGGGGTCAGTTTGACCCGGGCCCTTGTGTGAACTCGCGTGTGCTAAATTTCGCGGCCATTAGGTCATGAACTTTGGGTCAATCAAGATCAAACAAGGCCATACACTAGATAAGCGTCCGAAGCGCCCTCAGACTTCCTCATGCAACTACCCCTAGCCTAAATACCTCTTAAGCAAAAGGTCACTGGAGTTCAATTCAGGCCAATGTCAGCAACTGAGCGGCGCTAAGCGGTACGCTCCTATACACAGCATGCTGATCGGGGTCATTAAATCCCACGTAAAGCGATTTTTCCAGTGAAAAGTGGATTGGTTTCGACCTCGGTTTGTAGTAGTAGTAGGGGTGCCGGTAGTGTAGTGGTTGAGGCGTCTGCGTTAACCACTGCTCGTCTGGGAAACCAGAGGTACGGGGTTCGATTCCCCGTGGTGCCCGCCCTTCCTGCCAGGGTGAGAGGCAGGCGACGCCATATAGCCTCAGCAGCTGGGTGCGTCGTAAAGCCCCAATGACATGACATGACCTCGGTTTGACGTTCATGCCTGACCCAAGGTGAATGGAATGAGCTGTAATCCTAAATCATTTGTCGTTTTGTTGAAGTAACCATGTCGAAGATGCATTGTTTCGTTTAACACTCCGTTGTTGCATCAGACTGAACGATTACCAAGGAATTGCCTTTGCTGGCATCCATGGGCCGACTTTGACCCGGCATAAGTCAGCAACCTTGCAAGGTGCATCTCTGTGCCATACCAAAATGCCGGATATTTGATTCCGACAAAAGAACGGATATTGTTATATTTTAACGATCCTACAGCCGTTCATAGTTAACCGCGGCTACGCAACGGTATTTGGAAGTTTTTCTTGAAAAACCGGAAGGGTGGGCAAATTAACCCTACCACCGCCTCTACCCCCATCCCAGCGCGTGTTTCCTGGCTGCCGTCAGGTGTTAATTGAGTTTTGAGAAGTATGTATAGAGAGAGAGAGAGAGAGAGAGAGGAGAGAGAGAGAGAGAGAGAGAGAGAGAGAGAGAGAGAGAGAGAGAGAAGAGAGGAGAGAGGAGAGAGAGGAGAGAAGGAGAGAGAGAGAGAGAAGAGGAGGGAGAGGAGAGAGAGAGGAGAGAGAGAGCGAGGAGATGAGAGAGAGAGAGGCGAGGAGGGAGAGGGAGGAGAGGGGAGAGCGAGGGCGAGGGCGAGGGGAGAGGGGAGCGAGGGCGAGGGCGAGGGAGGCGAGGGCGAGGGCGAGGGCGAGGGCGAGGCGGCGAGGGGAGGGCGAGGCGAGGGCGGGGCGAGGGCGGGGCGAGCGAGGGCGAGGGGAGAGGGCGAGGGCGAGGCAGAGGGCGAGGCGAGGGGCGATGGCGAGGGCTGCTGATGGGTCGAGGGCGAGGGCGAGGGCGAGGGCGGCGAGGCGAGGGCCTGACGGGCGAGACTTATATATATATATATATATATATATATATATATATATATATATATGCATACATCATATGAAGGCTCCTGTATCTTAGGTCTCACTATGCTGCATGGACGAAAATACCAGTCCTGCAGGAACTTATGTCGGTGCGCGATAATGCTAGCCAGCGAGAACTGGTCGTGCGCTGTCACGGCTCTCCAAAACCTGTGTCGCCAATGACCGCGAGCCCGGCCGGCCGGCACATCTTGTGAGGGGAGGAAGCTTTGGGTTCACGTGCGAGGCCGACCGGGCGGGTAATCCAATACGTTCTCAGAGGGTAGCCGAGTGGTCGTTGACGTGCGCTACAGTATGCTGTCTGGCTGAGAAACAAACAGTTACTTGCCAGGGGGAGCTAGCGGCGGAAGTAACGCACCCTCGGCGGTGTTTGGATACGCGTACATGGATAAATGTACACGTCGCAACTCGTATTTCCTCTCAAGACTTGCTGGGATCTGTATCGGGTCTTCCGATTACGAGCCCGGCGCACAACCACTAAGCCGACCGGAAAGACGATAGGTGACTTTTCTTTCCGGTTACCTCCGTGAAGAGCACTGGACTCGAGTCCAGTGCTCCTCTCGGCCTGCTCCTCGGCCGGTTCTCGCTGGCTAGCATTGTCGTGCACCGACATGAGTTCCTGCAGGACTGGTAGTTTCGTCCATGAGCACTGGATTAAGTCCAGTGCTTCTCATTATGTCACAGTCGTCGCAGGCACAGTTGTTTTTTTTTTTGTGTGACTGTGGCAATGTCACAGACGGAAGATACAATCGTCCTTTCTGGTTCTCTCAGCAGCAGGGGTGTGGACTTGGCAATCAAAAGACGTAGGTTTGAATCGCAGTAATTCCAAGGGGAAAATTCGTGCTGTAGCGCGCACGTGCCTAAGAGGCGAACACCATCCAATTCTTAGAACTCCCTGGCATGTGATGTTGGCCTAAAATTAACTAGCCAGCGTGTGCTGGCTGGTGTTCATGCTGGCATTCTAAGCGCGGGGCATGTTCTGAGCAAACATGCCGTGCGCGATACTAAGAGCTTTCTTCTCGTCATTTCGTAAAACTGAGATGCTGATCGTTGAGGCATTCGTTGATGTTGAAGTCAGCTATCCATATCGTGCTGATTTTTTTTATCGCAACATTTGCTGCGGTGGCGTCACTCTTATGCGATTAAATTTTGTGGGGAATATAATTTTCAGATGCCGACGTTCAAAATCCTGAACCCCGTGGGGAGCAACTTGCCGTTGCCAGGAACTGGCCCACCGAAGTTGATGCTGCGCGAGTAATTCGGTTTTCAGTTTAGATTAAACGGCTGTTTGTGGAATGGTACTAAAACTTCCCGGGACATTTCTACGGTATAGATTTGCCGCCGAGTTGTTTCGCGTCGTGTCTCGCCGCTTCCTCACCTTCCCTGTACATGTCGGTGCTGAACAGCTGGCATGAGTCGTCGTGGTACCTGAGCCCATCGCACGCCCCCGAAACTGGACAAATCAACGAACACATGGCGTTGGACGCGGTCGGCGTGGTCGCTGACGTAGCGTTGGTAAATTTACCTTTTATGCCTTTGAACAGCTGTGAGCTATCTCCTATGGCACTCAAAACTTCAATTAAAAAGTCGTTCCCAGCACACGCGACAGCCTCATACCTCCGCTGTGGGATGCGGGTCGGCTGCTGTCCACGTTGCGAAGCATGCAGGTTGTGAACGAAGCGGAGCTTTGTAGCCGTCGGCATTCAGTGTCACGTCATGCGTTTCCGTGGTGCCTTGCGACGAAACACGACAGAGGTGTGCGAACGCGCTGGTGTCTGGGGGGACCCTTGCGTGCTAGTCCTTTGTAGACGCTTATTGCATATTTCCGTTAGGAGCGCCGTGGGAGTGAAAGCGGGGTGTTGTTTTTTGACGTTCGTAATAGCCCTGGATTATTATATCAAGGCTCGGTTATTTGTCATGAAAGGAAACGAAAAAAGCTCCGTTTTGGTTCAAAAACTTTGCGAATTCAGCTAGTTAGAATTTCACAGCGATGTGTGGAACGATTTCAGATGCTTCAAAATCCGGGCTTGATATGATGTGCTGCTGTACTCATATTATACTTAAAGACATGGAGGCCTGTTCTGGCGAGTGATGAGTTCGTGCCCAGTGTGCCCGTGCTCTGAGACTTTAACAGCAGGGAAGTATGAACCAGAACAGATCTGGCAGGAAAGTTCAATTCTGTGGCCATCACTCATGAATGCCATTGACGTAAATGAACTTAAATGATTACCTCAGAACAGCGTAGTGGGCTTGTTTGCGACGGTTGTAAATGCATCACCGGCTCTAGGTCTCGTCCGGAAGCATACCGCTGTTTCCAAGCCGGTGATTGCTGCATTCCGTCGCCGTTCCGTTTCAGATGCGTCGCGAAAATCCCGATCTGCGGCGGCCGTCTCACTCACCGTCGGGTCCCGGCTCCGGCTCCGGGTCCGGGTCCGGCTCTGGCTCTGGCTCTGGCTCTGGCTCTGGCTCTGGCTCTGGCTGCGGGCCCGGCTCCGGTTCCGGCTCCGGGCCCGGCTCCGGGTCGGCCGATCCTCGTCCGCATCGGCGCCGGCGGCCGTATCGGTGCCGACGCATGACGCCGGCAGCAGTGGGGCGACTGTGGTCAGCACCGCCGCCGGCTCCTCGGCCGCCGTCTCGGTGCAAACCGAACCGGCGCCGGCCGCCGCCTCGACCTCCGGCTCATCCGGCTCGTCCAGCGGGTCCTCGTCGGCCGCATCTGTGCGCACCGAGCCGCCGGGGACCGGTGCCGCCTCGTCCGGGTCGTCTTCGCCAGTGACGGCGTCGTCATCGTCCACGGTGCCGTCTCGCTCGGCGGCGGTCGGCAGCGACGGCTCCAGCGCGCCGGAGAGCGGCGACGGCGGACGGCCGCCCCGCCGGCCGACCAGCCGGACTGCCTCCGACGCTAGCGCATCCTGCGAGAGCCAGGCCGGCCGGCCACCCCGCCGCCACGGCAAAGGTATGCGAGAGCGGCAGATGAGACTCAGACGCTCAGTTGGTCACGTAATCCCAAACGTAGTGCGCCGTTGCGGAACCGAACGCTTGCGAAATGTTCGTCTGATGGGAATGAGTCGGGACGTAACCGATGTTCATGGGTGAGTCACGTTCTCGAAGGTGCTCTGGGTTTGTGATGAATGAAAAAAGCGTGTTAGGTGGAGGGGGCACTTGTATGTCATTGCTGGCATCGAAAATGCTTGTTTTACGTCTTTGGCATGCTCGAATCCGCGAGGCGTGTCTCGGTCTGATACGAAGCGTGTCTCGGTGTGCCGCCAGGTGTGTCTCGGTGTGCCTCGAGGCGTGTCTCGGTGTGCCTCGAGGCGTGCCTCGGTGTGCCTCGAGGCGTGTCTCGGTGTGCCTCGAGGCATGTCTCGGTGTGCCTCGAGGCGTGTCTCGGTGTGCCTCGAGGCATGTCTCGGTGTGCCGCGAGGTGTGTCTCGTTGTGCCTCGAGGCGTGTCTCTGTGTGCCGCCAGGTGTGTCTCGGTGTGCCTCGAGGCTTGTCTCGGTGTGCCGCGGGGTGTGTCTCGGTGTGCCCCGAGGCGTGTCTCGGTGTGCCGCGAGGTGTGTCTCGATGTGTCCCGAGGCGTGTCTCGGTGTGCCGCGAGGCGTGTCTCGGTCTGATACGAGGCGCGCCTTGGTGTGCCGCAGCCAGCGTCTCGGAATCGCGTCTGGCGGCCAGCGACTCGGCCGGCTCGCTGCGCGTCTCGCTCCGCTCCTCCAAGAGTCTCAGCTGCCTGGCGCGCTCTGCGCTGCCCGACTCCTTCACGCAGTTCACGCTGGACATCGTGAGTGCGCTCTGGTCCGCCACCGGGCAGGGACTGACCCGGTGTGTCATCCTGGGAGGTGTCGCCCCGGGAGTCTCGCCCCGTGATGCGGAGCAATGTTCAGCAGCGAGGCGAACGCTTGGCTCTGGGAGGACGCGGTGTGTACATCGGAAGGGGACTCTCGTCCTGTGACATGGAGGAGCCGGCGAGCGTGGCCGTATGCTGTCGCCGTCTCCCAGTGGCGGTGTTGGCACTCCAGCCGCGGCAGCTCCCAGCCGGGCTGTTGCGACCCGTTCGTCCATCCGTGCGCCTGCTGGATCGGGCTTTCTTGTTGCTGTGATCATAGTAATGTGCGACAGTGATTGATGTGGCTTCTCATTAGAGCGGAAAAAACCGATAACGAATGCCTCGGCGTAGTTTTACAGCGATGTAGCGCAATAGTCCTCCGTAGTCAGGCCTGGCCTTTGGATCACCCTTGCCATGTTTCCGCCCTTATGCTCCACGTTGTGTCATCCTAGTCTCTCCCCGATGGTGGGAACGCGCAATCTGGGTTAGCTTTGCAAACCCGACCCGACCCCGTGTGCGGGCTGCCTAGCATATACTGTGGAAGGCCAGGCGTCAGTCGTATTGCTGAGCATCACATTACGACGTTCCTAAAACAGCGGTGTTGTGGTCGCCAGCAGCCGTACCCATGTACGTTCATCCCCGCCCGCCATCACATTGGGCGCGGGGCCGGCCTAGTGTTGCGTGGCCCGCCTAGTGAGGTGCCGCCCCCCACACTGGTGCGCTGCTGACGCCGGCCTCCGCCGCCGTGCCCAGGTGCGCCAGCAGCTGCAGGAGGAGGAGCTCCGCTCGCACCACCGCATGACGCTGCTCAAGGTGCAGGAGAAGCAGCTGGTGGACGGCACCACGGCCCAGATCAAGCGGCTCGAGATGGAGAAAAGGTCGGTCCGGCCGGGCCGGCCTCGCCCTCTGATAGTCTTGTTACTAGTGTTGGGTGTGGCACTCTTGCCAGCGGAACTGACAGACGTGGAGCGTCGTTGCGATATTTCCTGTCCACTGATTGCCCAGCCTGGATACACTTAAAACGTTGGCGCACCTGAGCACATGTGTAATACATTACACGAGGTACTGCTGTTCGGCGGCGCACCCAGGTTAGGGTAAACCAGCATGCTGCCTCATTGGTAACGCACATTTCTAGTGGCTTTTGTAGATTGATTTGGTTGTTGACGGAGTCCTTCCCTTTGGTGATGTCGCTGAGACTTCCGGCTTTGTTGTCTGTTCCAGGAAGTACAAGGAAGCCAACGACGACGAGAAGGTCTCCATGATCCGGAAGAAGCAGCGAGCTCTCATCCTCAAACTGAACCAACGAAAGTCAGATATTGAGAGGTGTGTGTGATTTGCACCCTCGTGTCATGATCGTCTCGTTACAATTTCGTTTGGTTCTCGTTAGATGGCGCTTCAGGCAGCCAATGCCACCAACTTGAGTTGTCTTGTGGACAACTCTGGTCGAGCGGCTGAGTCTCGGTCATCCTCTTCAGGGCCACGACTGTTACGGCCACTGTTGTTCCCCACGCTCTCACGCTGTGCAAGTGTGCAACGTGCGATAATGCCGCTTTATTCGTGACATCGCGTCGTTCTGCCGCATCATGAAGCCCTTTGGTATGCCACGGACTGTCTGCTGTTCTTGCTTGGAACGGAGGTCTGAAAGTCTAAGGAAGTCTCTCGCAGCTGGCGGTTTGACGTGCGCGCTCTATGCCCAGACTGAAGGAGGCCCAGCACATGGCGGCCACAGAGCGCCAGCTGATCGCGTCGCAGCAGGAGCAGCTGGCGCGAGCGCAGCTGACTGCCCGCGGCGCAGACAGGCACGGCGAGGCTCAGGTCGGTACACTGTGCACGCGTGCTGAGTCCTGGCTGGTCCCGGGTGGTGCCGGGCTGGCTGGTCCTCGTCTGAGCGGCGCTTGGACTGTCGGTTTAACCAGCAGGTGCGAGGTAGGAGATGTTAGCTTTCGCTCATGGCATAGCTATTGACGTGTCTGGGTGGGCCTGTCCCTGATTTCAGTTTGTGATGTATATAGAACGGTGCGTGCCTGTGATGCGTTACGTTGCGTGCAAACATGTAAAACTATCGCCGTGGTTGTTCAACGGCTGCAGTGTTTCAGCGGGGTGATGATTCGTGATAGTATAATCTGATGGTAATAAGATTTGCATCTGTACTGATTTTGTGCATGCATTTCGCCGTGCCGTTCAATCTGTCAGCATACCGTCGGCATCCGGGGTTGGTGACGGCGAACGGGCGGCTTCGAGTCCCCATCCCGGCCTGGCCGACAGCCTTTCTGACGTGTCACGCTCTCTCGCTCAGAAGCCGAGTTTAGCTCTGGTGGAGGGAGTCCCTTTTGACGTGTCCCCCTCTCTCGCTCAGAAGCCGAGTTTAGCTCTGGTGGAGGGAGTCCCTTTTGACGTGTCCCCCTTTCTCGCTCAGAAGCCGAGCTCGGCGCCGCTGGAGGGGCCCATTTTGACGTTCCCCCCCCCTCTCGCCCAGAAGTCGAGCTCGGCGCCGATGGAGAGGGCCCCTCTCTGGTCCAGAAGCTGGGCTCGGCGCCGGTAGAGGGGCTCTTCTGACGTGTCCCCCTCTCTTGCCCGGAGGCTGAGCCCGGCGCCGGTGGAGGAGCCCCCTCTGACGTGTCCCTTCTCTCTCGCCCAGAAGCTGGGCTCGGCGCCGGTGGAGGGGCCCCTTCTGACGTGTCCTCTCTCGCCCAGAAGCTGGGCTCGGCGCCGGTGGGGGGGGGGCCTCTCTGACGTGTCCCCCTCTCTCGCCCGGAAGCTGAGCCCGGCGCCGGTGGAGGGGCCCCTTCTGACGTGTCCCTCTCTCTCGCCCAGAAGGTGGGCTCGGCGCCGGTGGAGGGCTGGCCTCGGCTGCCGTCCCGGCCGGCCACACCGCCGCGCCAGGACTCCGACGTCAGCGACGCCCAGCTGAGTCTCAGCGAGGCAGAGTCAGGCACGCTGGAGCAGCGCATCCTGCGCGGACTGCGCAAACTCGAGTCCGGCAAGCAGTGAGTGACAGTGTGGAGTGGTCCGCCGGGAGAATCGGGTGTCGGGAACGGGCTACGTCGGCGGAATATGCCATCGGCCTCTGCTGCTGCCGCGTCGAGAGAACCGTGCTTCGAGGAGTGATGCGCCACTTTAAAAAAGACCCAAATTTTGATTTTCTCATTCAAGCCAGCAAAGCAGTTAAATCCACGACTGGAAGGTTCGAGGTGATCTTTGATATCTCTTCAGCTGCCGTGGACATCACTTTTTGAGCTCGCCACATGCAGCGCGCCGTGCCGCCGAACCACAGGCTCTCTGCCCTTGATCCCGGCAAACTTTTATCTTCATCTGCTCTCCCGAGACGCACGCTAAGATGCTGGCCTGGCTCTCCCACGCCGGAGAAATGAGCCCGCCACTTTTGCGACGCGTTGTTTTATATAGTCTGGCATTGTGTTGTCTAATCTACTCGCGCCGACTCTTAGGCGAAGAACATTGTTACTCGTTACGAGGCACAGCGCAACCTTTCATTGATGCCAAAGCGGGCTGTTGTCTTGCTGCGATGTTCGTAGCGATTCTGTCTCGGCGGACCGCGGCACGGCTCTGAAAGACCCTGTTCTTCCTTTAAGCATCTTACCGTCGGGATACACGGTAGTACAGTAACTATAAATATGCCAGGGTATTGTGGAGTGAAGCTGTGCACGTGAGGTTGTGCTCGGCGCGTACCCTGGCCGCTGTTCTGAGTGCGGGTGGCTCCACGCAGCCGTCGGACACAGACCCGTGTGCCGCTGCGTCCGCCTGCTGCCGCGGCGGGCCTGCCGGCCGGAGCCGGCCGCCGGCGCCGCCCCATGTCGCGTGACGTCACAGGCCGGCGCGGCGTGCCGACAGGCAGCTGACGGAACGGGAGCGCCAGCTGCTGGACCGGCGCCGGACCGTGGAAGAGATGCTGCGCTGGCAGGCGGCGCTCGACCAGGAGGAGCGCGCTGTGCGCAGTCTGGAGCGGCGCGCGCTGCGGCGCAGTCACGACACCGAGGGTCAGTCACCAGCCGGGGAGAATACGAAGGCACCGTCGGGGGGGGGGGGGGGGAGCTGTCAGGACGAGGGTGAGTCCGCCGTCGACACGACCACCGGGCTCCGCTACCGGAGAGACGGAGCTGGTCGCCAGTGCGTCCGGGTGCGGGCGTCGGACGACCGCGGCGCGACGGCCGTCTCGGACCGGAGAGAGGCGACCAGCCGATGTGACGGTTTGCGTGTGACCCCGCAGTTCAGACGGAGCCCGACCTGGACTCGTCGATGGACCGGTCCGGGGTGGAGGCCACCTCCCAGTCGCAGGAGGAGTCGCAGGCCGAAGAGGTGTCGGAGGCGGCCGCCGCCGTACCCGGACAGGTCAGTGACCGGTCGGCCAACGTCGAGTGCTTCCGCCCACGTGGCGAGCGGACGAAGCAGCCGCCGTCTCGTGGAGCAGATAATCCCGTGTCTGCAAACTTTTGCCACTGAGATGTCGGATAATCACACCGGGAAACGCACAGTCGCACCGGAGTCGAGGATGTGTTGCCATTGAAGCGCGGTGTCGGTTTGGCGGCGGCTGACCCGCTGTGCCGCGCTGTGCCGCGCTGTGCCGCAGTGTGCCGCGCTGTGTCGTGTGACGCCGCCTGTTCGCCGCGCAGGACAGCGCGGCCGCCGGCCGGACGGCCACCGCCGCCGCCCAGGACACTACGCAGTTGTCGGACGTGTCCGAGGACGTGCCGGACCGCTCGGACGAGCTGTCGGACGGCGCCGCGGCCACCGTGTGAGTCCCCGACCTCGGCGGCGGCGTGGGCTGCCCCCGCCGCCGCCGATCGAGAGCGCTCGAGGAGCGCCCGAGGGCGGCGCCGTCGTCTGCAGTGCCGAGTGGCGCCGCCGCCGCCGCCGCCGCCGCCGCCGCCGCCGCCGCCGCCGCCGCCGCCGCCGCCGCCGAGCCCGGTGTTTTGCCGTTGGCTTAATGTTAAACGGCCCATCGCGATGTATGCCGTGCGGATGCGTCACATTCTTCTGACCGTGGAGGGTCCATCGGAGCTGGTGGGAGGGTGGTGCGGAATGAAGTTGTGCACATGTGATTATGGATATGCTTGTTTGTGAAAAGGCGTCCGGACGATTGATCTCGCTCCTGTTATACCCTCACCAGGAGTTCTGTGCGTGAAGTGAGCTTCGGGTCGACCCCTGCAGCCATCTCCGGTTCGACGCCTGGGGTCACATCGACACTTGAGGTGACTTCGGCGCGGGAGGTGACATCCACACGCGAAGGGACGTCGACGCAAGAAGTGAGATCCGACTCGATGCACACAGCCACCTCCGGCTCGACTCGGGAGGTGACCTCAGCGCGTGAAGTGAGCTCGGCCCACTCGGAGACCTCGACCTCCACACAGGAGGAGACGTCGACCGGCGACGGAAGCACGGCGGCGTCGGCGGAGACCCGGACGGCGCGGTCGGGCCCGCGGCCGTCCCAGTCGATGTCCGAGGAGACGAGCGCCGCCTCCTCCGGCCGGACCGGCGCCTCCGGCCTGGGCGCCGGTCGTCCGGTGCCCATCAAGTCACCGCTATCGCCGCGCCTGCCGGGCCCAGCCGCCGTCAAGGTGGCGCGCCGCCGACACTCCAGCGGCTCCGATGACAGCATCAGCCTCAGTCAGAACGGTGAGAGTCGCACCGAGCCGGTCCGGTGCGGGCCTGCACGAGCGCGGTCGTCAGCCAGACGCCACGCTGCGGCGTATTCGTGCGCCACGTCGCCGCTATCAGACTGGTGAGCTGCGAGTCCGACATGCGGGATGTCCCGGGACCCTCGCCGCACGCTGCCTCGTTGCTCGGTGAGCGCTGCCGGTGATCGATCTTGGCGGTAGCAACGATGCTGGACACTGACGTGCCATTTGCGATCTGTGGCCCGCTCTGACCGGGGTCTCCGCACCACGCGCCGGGACTCGTGTGTGCTGCGTGCGAGGGCGGGGCCTCGGACCGGCGTCTCCCAGCGCCGTCTGGCGTCAGTGTCCGTGTGCTGTCCTCTGTGTGGGTGGTGACGTCACGGGGCCCTGCAGAGACGTGCTCGGACCAGAGCGACGTGGAGGGCCGCATCTACGCACTGAAGGAGGAGCTCAAGCGACGCAAGATGGAGGCCGAGCGGTTGCGGCGCGAGCAGCGGCGCAAGCACCGCGAGCGACTTCGCCAGCAGGAGCAGTCGCTCCGTAAACAGATCGAGGTGGGGCGCCGGCAGGCCTGAGGCGCTCGTCTCCGACGCCAGGCGCCCGTCTGCCGGACTGGACACATTGTGCTGCTTACGTGCGGCTGGAGGGTGTGCTGTTGTGGCCTATGTGGCCTGCGTGACCGTATACCGTGGGATACCCACGTAGGGCTGGTCTGTTTTACACCTGATATCGGAATGCATGTTTTCGTGCTTTCTCTAGCTCGTTCGAGATCAGGTTCTGTCTTGCCGTTCCTTGCTACATTGTGACGATAGGGATCGGGATGGAGTCGGCGAAACATTAGGACCCCATAGTAATTACACTTCTCTTTATTATTAGTGACAGCTTTTGTAAAGCTGCGCTTAAAGCTACGGCCGCAAAACTCCCAGTCCATGCAGGTAACAATAAAACTGTGCATGTTTTTCTCGACGCACGCCCAAAGAGTCGTGTGTCTTCCGCGCCGGCGCTGACAGCCTCCGTTGTGCGGCAGGCGTACGACGCCAGCATCCGCCAGGCGGTGCTGGAGCTGGAGACGCAGGCGCTGGAGCAGCAGCGGCCGGTGCGGCCGGTCATCAAGCAGCCGCGCGTGGCCGAGCGGCGGCCGGCGCGCCCGCGGCCGTCGCCGCCGCCGGCCGTCAGCGGCTCGGACACCAGCGCCAGCCTGTCGCGCGACTCCAGCACCGAGACAATCGTGCACAGTCCAACCAAGGCGGCAGGCGCGACGGCCGCTGGCTCCAGCTCGGCCGACACGAGCGGCTCGGCCGTCGAGGCGGACAGCGCCGGCGAGACTTCGGCCGCCGGCCGCTCGGGCACCGCCGCCGACGAGATGGACACCGAGGCCGAGACGGAGGCGACGGAGGAGCTGCCCAGCAAAACGTCGGTCACGGCGCCGACCGTCGGCGAGACAGAGACGGAGGCTACGGAAGAGGTTCCCAGCAAAACCTCGGCCACGGTCCCGACCGCGAGCGAGGCGGAGACGACGGAAGGAGGCGCGTCGACCACCGAGCAGAGCTCCGCCCAGACGTCCGCCACCGTCGCTACCGATCGGGACGTGCGCACGGCCAGCAGCTCGTCAGGCAGCACGGCCGTCGGCACGGACCGCGGCCTGGTGACGGCGGCCGGCACAGAGCGCTCGGAGTCGGTGCGGACGGCGACGAAGGCTGACTCGGACGCGAGCTCGGCGGCGGCCGAGCGGGACGGCTCGACGGACGGAGACTCGCCGACGAAGCCGTCGGCCAGTGCCGCTTCGGGAACGGGGAGAGGCGCGGCGACCACGGACGACTCGGCGACGAAATCCGCCGCGACGGACAATGAGAGCAGCGAGCGGGAGTCAGAGTCAGAGCGTGACTCCGAGTCGAGGTCGTCGGTAGGAGCGGTCAGTCGGACGGAACAGGACGACGGGACTGAGGAGAAGTCGGTCACCGCCACCGTCCAGACGGAACGGGATGTGGAGACTGAGGACGTCTCGGAGTCGCACTCGTACAGCGAGTCTTCCTCCCGCAGCTCCGTTGCCAAGGTCGAGCACAGCCGTGGCGAGGGAACCCCAGAGGCTGGTGTTTCAGCTCAGAGTGAGAAGGATGACCAGGAGGCCGGCCCCGCTGGTGCCGTAGTCGCCGCCGGGCAGAAGGGGGTCTTTGGTCGCGCTGGGAGCGCCCGGCCCGACCTGGACGCGGCCCCGGCTGCTGCAGAGACGTCGGCCGAGCCCACACTGCCGACCGAGGCGCCCACCACCCCGGAGAAAGCCGAGCCGGTCACCCCCAGCAGCTCGCCGTCATCGGCCGATGGCGAGACGGCCAGCGCCACAGTGCCGACCGAGGCCGGAGCTGTCACGGAGGAGGCGGCGTCGGACGGCGCGGGACGCTCGAGCAGCTCCGGCGACGGCCCGGAGAAGGCAGCGGCGTCTGCTGACGCCACCTCCGTCGCTGGGAAGCTGTCGGAGAGCGCCGCGTACTCGGCCGACTTCGAGGCGGCGGAGTCGGTCCGCGCCGAGGTCCGGGAGGTCTCCGGGCCGCCCCGCACGGGCGCCGCCGAGACATCCGCGGAGAGTGACGCCGACGCCACGGACAGGTCGCTGTCCGTTGGGGAGGAGCTGGTGGGGCGCGACGCTTCGGACGAGCTAGGGGACGCTGTGGCGAGCGAGCCACAGGCGGACGCGCCGCCAGCCTCCCCGCAAGGTCAGGTCAGAGGAGAGGATGCGGCCGAGGTGAAGGCGCCCGGGGTGAGCGCCGAGAGGGAGAGGCTGGTTAACTCCATCACGGAGCATCTGCTTCATTCCCTGCTGGCGGTCACGTTGCCCACGCTCAGTCCTAAGAAGCCTGCGGCCCCCGCGGGCGATGGAACTTTTGTTGTGCACAAGTCGGTGGATGAGAAATGGAGGGCAGAAGCTGACATGTTGCCAGAAGCGTTCATCAAAGCGGAAGCTGGAAACCTGCCGGAAGCGTTCGTGGAACAGGGAAGCCGCGAGCTGCGAGAAGAGATGGGCAAAAACGAATCTACCGAGCCGCCGCAAGGCCCTGCCAAAGATAAACATGACAAGGCGGCGGATCAATCTTCGGAAGCCAAAGCTGACAAACAGTCCGATGACTCTGACGATACGGAAAGTGAAGAGAAAACTGCCAGCTCCGAGACGGAAACGTCGGCCTCCAAGCGGACAACCACCAGCAGCCCGGACACCTCGTCCGCCTCCGACAGCAAGGCCGCGAGTTCGAAGCGTGAGGAGGCCGGCTCCGAGGACGCCCCCGATAGCAAGGTCGCGAGCTCGGAGCGTGAGGAGGCCGGCTCCGAGGACGCCTCCGATAGCAAGGCTGCGAGCTCAGAACGCGATGAGACCGTCTCCGAGGACTCGTCCGTCTCGGAGGACGGGACCACGGCCTCGTCGAGCGCTCGCGAGGACGTCGAGCCGGTCTGTGGGCCGGCGGCGTCCGAGCCGGGCCGTCGCCGCCGCCCGGTGGTGGCGCTCGACGCTGAGACCCTCTGCGAACAGGTGGAGCTGACCTTCGCCTCTGCCAACCGTGCTGCCGCCGCAGCCGCAACCGCGGCCGCGGCCGGAGCCGGAGCCGGAGCCGGAGCCGGAGCCGGAGCCGGAGCCGGAGCCGGAGCCGGAGCCGCGGCCGGAGCCGGAGCCGCAGTCGCAGTCGGTGCCGCAGCCGGAGCCGCAGCCGGAGCCGCAGTCGCGGTCACAGTTGGTGCCCCAGCGGGTGCGGACGCCGGCCGAGCGCGCTGTCGATGCGGTGCTGGCGCGCCTGCTGAACGAGGCTTGGCTGGAGATCCTGCGGCGCTGGCGGCGGCGCGAGGAGCGCTCGGTCCGCGCCGACCCCGAGCTAGGTAAGTCCCCGGAGCGCGGCGGACAGCCAGACGCATCAAACGCATCCGCAGCGGCCATTGTGGCGACGTACAAAACTTATCTTAGGATGTCTGCCGGAGCCTGCCGCCTGTCTTGTACGATATGTGTAACCCAAACTCCTGAGTCAGCTGGTATTAGCAAGCTTTTGCGTGGACAGATGGACGTGGTCGTCCGCATGCTCTGTGATTGAGGACTGTGTATCGTAAGGTATGCAATGTGCTGGTGCCGCGACATTTGTGCGGCGCCCGACGCTCGGGAAACCGCGGCTGACCACTGGCGTGCTTGTGCGCGTGGCAGCCGGTCGCGCGGTCGTGGGCCCGCTGCCGCCGCGGCTGGGCGCCGGGCTGCCGGCCGACGCGGCGGAGCTGGTGCCGCCGCACGAGACCTGGATCGATGACGACCTCGGTCTGTGCGAGAGCCGGGACGACGAGCTACGCCGCCAGGAGGAGGCCATCGAGGAGGAGGTGGGTCACGGCCGACTGCCGAGCGGAGGCGTCCTGCTGGTACGAGGCAACGCTAGAGGATGAAACATCCTAATGGATTTGGGTCAGGTGATGGCAGGAAAGGGATGTCCTCGGCGCCGTGTTTTGTTGTGATGGCTTGGGTTGTTGCATGCATGTGGCGATGTTTTTGGGCACACTTGAGACTACCGGCTGCAGATAAGGTAGTCGGTAGATGATGCTGCACTTGAGCGGGCCTTGGGTCACATGGATCAGTGATTTTAAAGGGTGGTTCTCCACCCCAGATCCGGCGCCTGGAGGTGCTGCAGAAGTTCCAGCAGCTGTCTGGCGGCAGCGCGCTGTATGTACGCGAGATCCCCAACAAGCCGCCGCCGCCGTACCGCGACCCGCCGGCCGGCGAGCTGTCTGCCGCGGGTCGCGTCGAGCCGCCGCCGGCGCACCACGTGCCGCGCGGCGCCGCCGAGCTGCTGCCGCTGGTCGAGCGCGCCTGCAGTGAGCTGGTGCCGGACGGCCTGCCGACCAGCCTGATCCATACGCCTTCGGAGGCCTTCCTATGCGAGGAGGCGCCGGAGCCGGACCAGCAGCGGACGGCGGCGCGCCGCCAGTTCCGCCGCTTCGTCTTCCAGCTGGCGGCGGCCGCGGCGCGCGAGGCGACGGCGGTGGGCGCCGCGCCGCCGCCGCCGCCCTGGCTGCGCGGCCGACCGGCCCGCCGCCTGGCGGCCCGGCCGCCGGCTGACGCGGCCGCGCTGCGCCAGCACGTGCTGCGCCGCGCCGCCGTGGCGCTTGGTCTGCGCCCCGCGGCCGCACGCGAGAACCTCATGGTGCGCTGGGCGCGCAAGCGGCGCGATCGCGTGGACGAGGTGCTGGTGCGTGAGCTCCAGGAGGAGGAGGCCGACTGGGTGACGTACGACGCGGACGCCGTCAGCGTGAAGGAGCAGCTGAGTCGGCAGCTGACGGACGACCTGCTGAGCGACGCCACGCGCCAGCTGATAACGGTCTGGCGACGGCGCTACGTCAAGCAGACGGACCTCTGAGCGGCGCCGGACTCGGTCGTCCGTCGGCGGTGTGGCGACGACCCTGCCGCCGGTGTGGATGACGCCAGGGCAGAGGGTCGTTACATGACTCGTGATTGATGGGCAGGCGAGTTAACGAGCGTCCTTCGGTTGGCTTCGGAGGCACGCGGCGGTCCCGGTGGCCGCCGGTTGAGGGCCACAGGCCTAGTTCGCGGTCAGAGTTGACCGTCGGATGAGGACTGGACGAGGATGAGCACCCCTCGCTGGCTGCCACCAGCGGCCTGCGGGTACCTGAGAGATATTGTCTGGGGCGGTGATCCCGCAGGTGGCGGCCCCGGTGGGTCGTCATACGCAGGACTTCCGTCCGAACAGTGGAGACAGCGAAGGGCGCTGCTAGCCCGCTCTAATGGACGGCGTCCCTGTCGCCCGAACTACGCTCTACTGCGCGACATAATGATGTGAAACCAAAGACGTCAGGCTGGTGTTTAAATGCTCGTTCGCTCAGACTGGTCCTGCCGCGCGTGATGGTGCTGTCGTCTCTGGGTGTGTGACCGCCTGGTGGTCACCGATGTCATGCCGCGGGATTTCCGGTGTCTGGTCGGGAGCGGCTGTGTTGTGTCTCTGCTCAAGCAGTCTCCGTCCGTTGGTATCGTGTGCGGTGTGAAGCTCTTTGTCTGGTTGGCGGCCGCTGCGATGAGTCCAGGGCAAGCATCGCCCATTGTTAGGGGTGTGTGGGATCGCGAAGTGGAGTGACGATGCCGCAGTCAGCCCGGCAATCCGCAGGCGCATGCGTTGCTCACAATTGGTTTTGGGCATCAAATGTGAATTAAATTTCACGTCAGCAGGTGACATGGAGGGTCTATCTCGATCTAATGTGTGAGGCAGGTCGTCGTTCCGAATCGACTGCCTCCGTCGACAGGCGTGTCAGTTACGGTCCGGCAATTGAGAAGCCCTCGTGGGCCTGTCGACGCTGTGTGTCTGTGTGCGTGCATGTGAGGAGGTAGCTGGCTGGATCTCGTAAACTCCTGGTCCTCGGCTCTCATCCGTCCAGTCCTCCGCGCGACAAATTGCACCATCGGTGGCGTATTTTTAATATCGAAAATACATGGGTGACAACTCGGGTTGGATCGTTCCGTCGCTGCTGGCCATGGAGCACCGTCTCGAGCGGCCGTCGTGTCGGCGCCCGGAGCGCAGCCGGCCGCATAAACGGCGCTGCTCAGGGCCCCGCCGCCGACGGCCGCCCCAGCTCCGTGGACCGCTCCGAGGAGGCCTGTACCGCCGACATGACGGCGTACCTGCGAAAGCGCGACACTCAGTGTAACGGAACAGTTACGCTCAGTGTAACAGTCGTCTGATACGACGGTGGGCTGTGGACAGCTGGCACAGTACGACGCCCGGTGTAACGTAGCAGCGTAACAGTCGTCCGACACGGCGGCGGGCTGTGGACAGCTGGCACAGCGCGGCGCTCAGTGTAACGTAACAGTGTAACAGTCGTCCGACACGGCGGCGGGCTGTGGACAGCAGGCACAGCGCGACGCTCAGTGTAATTTAACAGCGTAACAGTCGTCCGACACGGCGGCGGGCTGTGGACAGCAGGCACAGCGCGACGCTCAGTGTAATTTAACGGCGTAACAGTCGTCCGACACGGCGGCGGGCTGTGGACAGCAGGCACAGCGCGACGCTCAGTGTAATTTAACGGTGTAACAGTCGTCCGACACGGCGGCGGGCTGTGGACAGCTGGCACAGCGCGACGCTCAGTGTAACGTAACAGTGTAACAGTCGTCCGACACGGCGGCGGGCTGGGGACAGCAGGCACAGCGCGACGCTCAGTGTAACGTAACAGTGTAACAGTCGTCCGACACGGCGGCGGGCTGAGGACAGCAGGCACAGCGCGACGCTCAGTGTAACGTAACAGTGTAACAGTCGTCCGACACGGCGGCGGGCTGTGGACAGCAGGCACAGCGCGACGCTCAGTGTAATTTAAAAGCGTAACAGTCGTCCGACACGGCGGCGGGCTGTGGACAGTAGGCACAGCGCGACGCTCAGTGTAATTTAAGAGCGTAGCAGTCGTCCGACACGGCGGCGGGCTGTTGACAGCTGACACAGCGCCAGGACGCGGGCGCACGTCAGATATCGCCACGTCCTCTTAGCTCACCAGACCGCTGCCGGTCACCACTCTACCCTCCTGATGACCCCACTGTCGCCACGCGTACGCACGCCGCCTGGCCGCCGGCGGCGAGCGGCTGAACGACACACCTTGGAGCGATGCCGGAGTGGTGTCCGAGTGGACCAGAGAGTGAACCGGAGTGGGTACACCGGGGTGGCCCGTCCGGGGGCGGTCAGTCGGACTCACTCGAGGCCGGCCTTCTGCAGCGCCATGAGTCCGGCCAGCGAGCTGCCGCCGGGCGCCGACACGTCCCGTCGCAGCTCGCCAGGACTCCGGCCCGAGTCCAGCACCAGACGCGCCGCGCCGGACGCCTGGAAAGTGCACACACAGACGTCATCGCCCGACACCTGGCCAGGGAAGCAGCCAAAGGGAGGCGCGGGGACATGCCCCCTATGCCGTTTTGTAGCGAGGCTCGCTCCAAATGCAGGGCGATTTCACACAGTTCCCAAGTCGCAAAGGTTTGGAAAAATTCGACGTTTGCGCCCTGCCCGTGATGAGTTTTTGGTTGCGCGCCTCTTAGCTGGACAAAGCAGTCAGCGACAGCACCCGACGCCTGCCAAGCCTTGCGTAATAGAGATCCCATAACGGTTGGCGAGCACAGAGTCTGAGCTCCTGCTCACGCTCCTCGTGCGGCGGGTTTGACTCGAGTCAGTGTCACACGCAAGCTGCTACCACCTGGCACCGGATAGGTGGGGGGCAGCCGTCCTCCAGAGGCACAGCGACAGGCAACGGTTAGTGGAGGTCGCGCAACGTCTGCCGGAGCCGGGAAACCCTTGCCGATAACGAGCTTCTGTAGACGGGGAGGGGGGGGGGGGGGCGTTTGTCAGTCTCGGTCCCCCACCACCAGGAATCTGAAGCGTGACTGAAATAACGATTTGCCTAGCCAACCGGGCCGCTTACCGTTTTGGCGGCCATCTGGACGGCGTCGTGCCAGGGCACACCCAGGTTCACGGCACCCGCCGCCAGGGCGTCGATGAAACTGAGCGCCTGCAACGGGACCACACCACACGCTGAGACGAGCCCAGCAAAGGCCGACGGGAACCGGTGCAACATCCAACCGACATTACATCAACTAACTGACAAGCTATCCGTAGCAATTCCGACGATCCTCCTTCCGTTACGCCGAAATAAGTCTGTCTACAGCCAGAACGTGTTGATGGGCTGGAGCGGTGTGGGATGTTTTGGCGGGGAAGAAGTGCTGGATGGTGGCCACCGTGGTGGTCTTAATTCGTCAGTGACTCACGAATGCCGTGCCGCCGCTGACCGCCCCGCTGTACGCATCCGCCAGGCTCTCGTCCACCTGCTTGCAGAGGCCCAGTGCCGAGAAGACGGTCTCGACGGTGAGCAGCCAGTGCTGAGGCAGCCCGTCTCCAGCAGCAGTACACTGATGGCGGACCACGGACACGTGTCAGTCCCACGCTACACCAGTACACTGCTGGCGGACCACGGACACGTGTCAGTCTCACGCCACAGCAGTACACTGATGGCAGACCACGGACCCGTGTCAGTCTCACGCCACAGCAGTACACTGATGACGGACCACGGACACGTGTCAGTCTCACGCCACAGCAGTACACTGCTGGCGGACCACGGACCCATGTCAGTCTCACGTCACAGCAGTACACTGATGGCGGACCACGGACACGCATCAGGCTCACGATGCAGCAGTACACTGATGGACCACGGACACGCGTCAGTCTCACGCCGCAGCAGTACACTGATGGCGGACCACGGACACCCATCAGGCTCACTCTGCAAGAGTACACTGATGGACCATGGATACGTGTCAGTCTCACGCCGCAGCAGTACACTGATGGACCACGGACACGTGTCAGTCTCACGCCGCAGCAGTACACTGATGGCGGACTACTGACACCCATCAGGCTCACTCTGCAGCAGCACACTGATGGACCACGGATACGTGTCAGTCTCACGCCGCAGCAGTACACTGATGGGCCACGGACAAGTGTCAGTCTCACGCCGTAGCAGTACACTGATGGCAGACCACGAACGCTGTCATTGTGACAACACAGGTCGGTCAGTGTCTGGATTGCTCAGTACATATGCATGAGCTATAGGTGACGCCGTTGTGCCCAGAGCCCCTCTCCTCTTCCGTGCCACCATTTGCAGCAGCGTGTCAAGAAATGCGTAAAGCGAGCTCAGACCCTGCTGCCTTGTACTCCCGCCGCCCATGCAGTGAGATCCCGTACCACAACGCGATTTGGGCCGTACACGATGTTTCGGAGGGGGTCCCCCTATCCTGGCGATTGAAACTCACCGGCACAGCCTTCTCCGATGGAGACGGATAGGTTCGGCACACAGCGGATCACGTGAATCACGGCCTTGGAATCCTCCGGCAGGTGGGATGTCAGAGTCTGCCAGTACGCAAACCATGGTCAATACAGGCCTGACAACGACAGAAGCGGACATATCGTCGACTGGGCTGGACCAATGGAGAGAGAGAGAGAGAGAGAGAGAGAGAGAGAGAGAGAGAGACAGAGAGATAGAGAGAGAGAGAGAGAGAGAGAGAGAGAGAGAGGAGAGAGAGAAGAGAGAGAGAGAGAGCAGAGAGAGAGAGAGAGAGAGAGAGAGAGAGGAGAGAGAGAGAGAGAGAGAGAGAGAGAGAGAGCGAGAGGAGACAGAGACAGAGACAGAGACAGAGACAGAGACAGAGACAGAGACAGAGACAGAGACAGAGACAGAGACAGAGACAGAGACAGAGACAGAGCCAGAGACAGAGACAGAGACAGAGACAGAGACAGAGACAGAGACAGAGACGAGACAGAGACACAGAGACAGAGACAGGAGAGAGACAGAGACAGAGACAGAGACAGAGAGACAGAGACAGAGACGAGACAGAGACCAGAGACAGACCAGAGACAGAGACAGAGAGACAGAGACAGAGACAGAGACAGAGAGACAGAGAACAGAGACCAGAGACAGAGACAGAGACAGAGACAGAGACAGAGACAGAGACAGAGACAGAGACAGAGACCAGAGACAGAGACAGAGACGAGGACAGAGACAGAGACAGAGACAGAGACAGAGACAGAGACAGAGACAGAGACCAGAGACAGAAGACAGAGACAGAGACAGAGACAGAGAAAGAGACAGAGACAGAGGACAGGACAGAGACAGAGACAGAGACAGAGACAGAGGACAGAGACAGAGACAGAGACAGAGACAGAGACAGAGACAGAGACAGAGACAGAGACAGAGACAGAGACAGAGACAGAGACAGAGACAGAGACAGAGACAGAGACAGAGACAGAGACAGAGAGACAGCGAAGAGACAGAGACAGAGACAGAGACAGAGACAGAGACAGAGACAGAGCAGAGACAGAGAACAGAGACAGAGACAGAGACGAGACAGAGACAGGACAGAGACAGGACAGAGACAGAGACAGAGACAGAGACCAGAGACAGAGACAGAGACAGAGGACAGAGACAAGAGACAGAGACAGAGACAGAGACAGGACAGAGACAGAGACAGAGACAGAGACAGAGACAGAGACAGAGACAGAGACAGAGACAGAGACAGAGACAGAGACAGAGACAGAGACAGAGACAGAGACAGAGACAGAGACAGAGACAGAGACAGAGACAGAGACAGACACAGAGACAGAGACAGAGACAGAGACAGAGACAGAGACAGAGAAGAGACAGAGACAGAGACAGAGACAGAGACAGAGACAGAGACGAGACAGAGACAGAGACAGAGACAGAGACGAGGAGAGACAGACAGAGACAGAGAC